AGGAGCACAGAATAGAGAGGGAGGAGCACAGGCTAGAGAGGGAGGAGCACAGACTAGAGAGGGAGGAGCACAGAATAGAGAGGGAGGAGCACAGACTAGAGAGGGAGGGGCACAGACTAGAGAGGGAGGAGCACAGAATAAAGAGGAAGACCAGCAGTCAAGCCAGACTTCAAAAGACAAACCAACCCTTTTAAAGTGTTTCCCCCAGAGAGTCCTTAAGACTTACTGGGGGGGTGGGTGTGGCAGAAAGGATTCTGCCGATAAAGACAAGACATTTAGCTTGTTTTGGGAACATTCTAATAGATAGATATTTCATTATATTTTTAATAATTTTTCATTTTTTTATACAATATGTTTTGATCATATTCTTTCCCTACCCCAAGTCCTCCTGGTTCCTCCCCACCCACTCAATTCACATTCTTTCTCTCATAAATAAATAAATAAAATAGAAATAAGAAAACAAAGCAAAAAAGACAAAAAACAAAAAACACTTCCAAACTGTAACAACATAACCATGAAAAAAAATCAACAAATAAACATGGTGTCCACTTTGTATTGGTCAACCACTCCTGAGCATCAAGCCTGCCCTCGAGTGTGGTTGATATACCCAAAGTCACGCCATAGGAGAAAATTGCTTCTCTCTCTCCTATCAGGAATCAACTGCAAATAGCTTCTTGGTTAAGGGTGGGAGAAGATACCCATTTCCCCTTCTCCACACTGGGGATTTTGTCTGGCTTGAATTTGCGCAGGTCTTGTGCATGCTGTCAACTCTCTCAGTTCCTATGTGCATCTGCTCTGTTGTGATCAGAAGGTTCTTCTTTGGAGCCAGATGACAGGCTCTTGCTGTCTTTCCACATCTTCTATGTAAGTCCTTGAGCTTTGAGAGAAAGTTTCATAAGGACATCCCATTTAAGGCTGAGTGTTTCTAGGTCTTTCACTGTCTGTGCATTGTTCAGCTGTGGGTCTCTGTGCGAATCAGCATCTACTGCAAGAAGCAGCTTCTCTGATGAGGGCTGAGTGATGCATTCATCTACAAGTATGTCAGGAGTCATTTGATTGCTATGTTCACTTAGCAGAATAATGGGTACAGGGATGGGAGGACAAGGTAAAGGAAGGAATGTGGAGAGGGACAGCCAGCACCAAAGACCTTTTGAAAGGCCATATGGAAACCTACCACTCTAGAGGCTTCCTAAAATATATAAAAGGAATTCAAATGGAGTTACCATACAATGGGGGAGGGAGAAGAATGCCCCAACTGACATATGATACCAAGTAAAACCATCACTACTAGGAATGGGTTACACTTGTTGATTTGTTGATCAAAGAGGTCTCCGTAGACACTACCAAACATTACAGGCTATTCCAATGCTGTTAGTTACCTTCCACAATGGGACAGTAAAGTCCTGTTTCTAAAGATAGCATTTAATTCTTCAAACATGGAGAAACTCAACTGTTACCAAATTAGAAGTTTCACTCCTAGTGACTAGAGGTCATGGTGCTGGAAGGTAATACATATGATGCCAGAGAAGAAAGCAATCATCCATCTCTCACAGCTGCTAGCCTGCGACCTACAACAGCGAGATACCTAGAAGATACCCTGCTGCAAGAGTGTAAATGCTATGGGAGTAACCAACCACCTTTTAAAAAATTGGATTTAAGGCCCATTCCATGAAATGGAACCCACACCCAACACTGTTAATGAGGCTAAGAACCTGGAACTAGATAGCCCTTGAGCCCTAGGAGAAAATCTACTACTATTCTTCTGCTGTAAGTAATCTATTACCTACTATTATTCTGCTAAAAGTACAGATATTTTAGATGACCTAGCAAATTAGCCACTATCCCTACAGTAGCCTAAAACCAGGTTAAGTGAAGAGTAATGCAACTCATAGCTGCAATGTTAAAATCTGGGTTCATCAGTTTCTTTAAAATACTTATCTTCTAACACACAGGGCCTTGAAAGAAGTGTTAAACAAGAAACACTACTTATCTGCAAAAATTCTTAAATATTTAAGCAATGCTCTCTAACACTTATGATATAGATAAGAGACAAAAGACTTGTCTAGCTGTACTTTTCATTTTAATTTCTGGGGTCTGAGCAGAGTAGGAGAAATGGCTAAGTTTCATGACCTTTGCAAGCAGCATCCCTCAGGTCATATTCTTCAATGCCTGTTGTGAATCCCTTCCATAGCTCACTTTACGCAGAGAATGAAGACGGCGATAACAAGAGGAGAATACTTCCTTCCGGGATATCACTGACCTCTGTTGCCAGGATGCATAGAATCTCATGTGAGGTCCCAGTGACGGCAGTTCCAGGGAAACACCTGGCAGATGGAGCGCTCCCGACTGCCCATGCCATCACTACTGCCCCTCCACTCCTCTGCACCTAGGCTGTTAGCGGAAAAGGTGAGTCCTCGGCAGGATATTCCAGCCTTTGTAGGTCCAGCATATTCTCCTCTAAGTATCCAGTCTGACCTTACACAGGCCTGTCACATGTGAGTCTCACTTCCACAAAAGTAACAAGGATGAATATCCCTGCTTGGCTGGAGACTAGAGGATAAATCTACCAAGTGAGGAACTGCCTGTGGGAAAAGAAGACCTTCCAATTCATGCCCGTAGGCCAGTCCACCTTCAAAAGAAAACGGACAAGGATATTACTTTCTGAGAAGCTGGGAGAGAGTGAACACTGACCTCAGTCAGCCTGAACACCTTTAGATGTCCACAGAACTTCTCCACCAACCTCCTCCACTCAGTTATCAGGTCAAGCCCCAGACTGCTGCCAACTCACTACTCATTCTCTTCTCTGGGTCTTTTACACACACCACTCCGCATAGTTGAAATGTTTTCCTTTCTCCTTCCTGCTTTTCCAGTTCCTCTAGAACTAGAGCCTTCCTCTGAAATCTTTCTGGCCTTTCTGTCCTGAGAATTCCTTCTCCTTACTTCGTTCATGAAGCCCCTCTGAACTCCTCATGGCACTGCCTGCCCCCACCAGGAATCCAGTGTGCACCCAGATCACGTAGAGAGTTGGTGTTTCAATTTGGGCATCTGCTCCCCTTCCAGATTATAGTATATTCCAGACTTCTATCTCCAGCATCCAGTTTCCACATAAGTTTAATAAATAAACATGGCTAAAATATATGACTCATCTCTCTATAGAGAAGGGTAATTTGGTTATCGCATCAATGGATGACCTTCTTAAATAAAATTGTGATACAGGTGCATCTCACCCTAAACAAATGCAGTATGAGAACATCAGATGGATCTAAAAGATACAAGGGCTATTACCACCAGATTCATCTGAGGACATTAAATATCAGGTTTCCGTGCATTTAAAATAGGACCCAGTCTTACAGTTTTTCAGATCATATTCAGTTCAGTCCAGCACACATTTCCTGAGCAGTATCACCAATGGAAGACATTGAGCCTTGCTGTAGTTGAGGCTTGCCCTGTGTGCTTCTTCAACCTCGAGGTTCAGTGTAACAAACAATATCCACTTGGAAGTCACAAGGACAAGTCAAAGGTCCTATGGCTCCATACACATATGCAGGTGCTCCCTTTAGTAATGTTCCGGGCTCCAGCACAGGATGCTCCGCACAACTGAAGTCTTGGCTTTCAGCTATCTCAAGAGACAGCTATAGACTCCCAGGACCTAGGTAACCACTGACAGTTCTTTCTCATCACAACATGTCAAGTCTTCACTGTTGGCTAAAATATTTGAAATCAAAGTCACCTTTACTTTGTTTTACCTCCTTCCGGGATTCAAACTCCCCATGGAAAGTGCATGGGCCTTGGAGTTAAATTTGAGCCCTGAGCTGAACCCCCAAGTGCTACTAAGCCACTTAAGTAACTTTGAGTGCATAATTTACTCTTGCCAAGTGCTTATCTCATATAGGAAGCAGGGTGGTGTGAGATCTAAACCTAAAAGATAAAAATCACTAGAGTACTGAACACAGAGTACTGAGCACAGAAGAGGCATCTACTCAGCAACTGTCACCACCCAAGTATCTTTTGCCTCATCATATGAAATCATCTTAAAAGAAATGGCTCCTCCATAATGCTGCTTGACTAGAAAGACAGCCCTGAAACGCAAATCAAAATTACAAGGCAGAATCAGTTTCCATATAGTAGGATGGCTAACACTCAACAGTGGCTAAGAGTGGATGTTACCATGTAGATGAAAAAAACCAGAATCCTCAAACACTGCCTGCCAAATGTTAAATGATGCAGCTGCTCCAGAACACTAAAGCCACTGAACACAGAACTATATGATCAGGGAAATCTGCTCCTAAATGTATACACAAGACCTGAAAACGGGTACTCAAAGGAGTCTTCCACAACGTAAACAGCAGAAAAAGTTCATCATAGCTAGTAGATGGAAACAACCCAAATGCCAATCATCTAAAGGAATGGATAAACAAAATATGGCATAGCTAGCAGAGTGGAATAGTTATTCCAAGGGCTTATCTATCAAAAGAAATGTGGTTCTCCTATGCACTCCAATGTGAATGAGGCTCAAAAATATGCTAAATGAAAGACTCTTGATACAAAAAAATGATCTCTCAGTTCAACTAATATGACTATCTAGGAGGCAAATCCATATAGAATGCAGATTAGCAGCAGTGAAGGATTAGTAAGAGGAATGGATACAGAGTCTCCTTTGTGGGTGACACAAACATTTTGGAACTGAATAGAAGTGTCACAGATGTTGAACATGCTGAACACCAGTGAACTGAACATTTTAAGATTGATTTATTTATTTATTACGTATACAGTATTCTGTCTGCATGTATGTCTGCAGGCCAGAAGAGGGCGCCAGATCTCATTACAGATGGTTGTGAGCCACCATGTGGTTGCTGGGAATTGAACTCAGGACCTCTGGAAGAACAGCTAGTGCTCTTAACCATTGAGCCATCTCTCCAGCTCCAAACTGAACATTTTAAAACAATGTGACTTAGATTTTTTTTAAAAAAATTAAGGTTCTACAGGATTAAGTAGTTTCTGCTTTGTAAAGCAGTGCGCAGAGTACTACAGGGGCACGCTCATCAGATGCCTACCAAAAGACTGTTCTGCATGGGCATCAGGCTTGATGCAGGTGCTGTCCTGCCTGGCAGCCTTATGGATCGTTTGAATCATCCAATAGGTGTTTGTGTGTACATTACCCAGAGATGCATGCCATCTATAGAACTGGGAGCTCCCCCCAAAAGCTCAGTCATTTCCGTGACCGCTAATAGCATCGCCTAGGAACTATGTCTATTTAAAGACCATTTCTACCACAGCATGTTATTTGCACTTTTGTTCTACTTGGCAAATTTGACTAAATTCCCATATGAAAATTTATAAAAAGCCATATGATTAGCACAAAATGTACCCATGCCTTCTGTACAGCCACTGGGTATGCCCTTGGCAACAGTGGGTTTTGATAGATGTTCTAGCGACGGGAAGTTTTATTCTAGGAGCTTTGTGGAGTTCACTTTCAAACCGTAAGATTTTCTTTCAAGTGCTTTCCAACATTCAGTGCTAAAACATTTTCATCAAAATGCTGGAAGTGTGGTTTCAGTTGAGCAGACACCCATTCCCAAGTACAAGTACAAGATGAGGGCATCTTTCCCCAATGTGTGCAGTCACATCAGCCTCCTCAGGCCACAGGGCAGTGGCCTTTTCATTATCGAAATCATCATCCCACTCTTCTGTTTTTATGGATAAGATTTGTAGAACAAGTCTGGATATTTTCCTCTATCCATTTTCAAGGAACATTCAAGAGAAAACTCTTTTCAAAAAATAGGAATACTGTGGGGCTAGAAAAGGCTTTGGAACCAGAATGCAAGATAAGTGAGGGAAAGGAATCCTATGCAAACCCCTAACCTAAGATATGGTTAGACCTACGAGCAAAGTGCCAAACCCTTGTCAAGGTGTCCTACCCATTAACTATGTAGTCCTCTTGCTCTCACTAGCTGGTCATTTTGAGAAGGATATCCTATTTCTTGGAGAAAATTTCTTGAGGCTATCTCAAGAACGTTGACATGTCCTTCTCAGAAAACTACCCATGTTGACTGCAGCCGTCGTCACAGTAGGCACAGTGTGGAAACAACCCAAGTATCCACCGATGAATCAATATGAGAAGATAAGGCTTATGACAATGGTATACACATATTCAAAAGAAAAGGCTATTGCTTTTAGCAATGCCGATGAAACATGTTAAATGAAATAAGCCAAGCACAGAAAGACAAATACTATGTGTAATCCCTAAAAATGCCGATTTTACAGAGGCAGAAAGAACAGAGCAATTACCTTGGGAGTAGGGGAGGGATTGCTTAATGGACACTTCATTAACTAGCAAGGATAAGTTCCACACTGACTGCACAGGAAAGAATGACTATGGATAAAGTATAGCATATTTCAAAATAGCTATGAAAGGACGTTAAGTGGTCTTGCCACAGTTATTTTTATACCAAGTTACAAATATGTTAAATATGATGATTTAATTATTTCATTATATCTACATATAGCAAGGCATCACACCGTAACCCACCAAAACATGCACAAAGCCACTGGACTCCTGTCCCAGACTGGCCACTTCCAGTCTTTTCTTCCACTAAGGTTGCAGGGCCTCCCCCAAGACCTATCCATACCAAACTCATCCCTGTGGCCATGTAGGCCTGGTACAGGCCCCTGTAACTCCCGGCAGTCTGAGTGGAGCTAGATGGGGCACAAACCCACTTTTCAGCTTCCGTTTCTCAAAGGCACCATACCACATGCTTACATCACTATTAATTGCACAGAACTTCTGGGTTATGAGTCCTGCCTCAAGGCAAGTGGAAAACCTGTGGTGCTTGCTAGGCACTTCGGTACTGTCCAAGAACAGCTCCAAACACTAGGTTATTTAACCTTCCAAACAAACTCAGGATGATCCAGCAAATTCGTCAAAGTCTAGATAGGTGCCAAAAGGAACTGAAAGCAAGGACTGAAACAGAAATACTGGTAGAGCAGCACTTTTCATGATAACCAGAAGGTGGGAACAGCCCAAATGTCCACTGAAAAGTGGTCCAGCCACATAATGAAATATTATTTAGCCTTAGAGATGGCTCAGCAGTTAAGAGCACTTGTTCTTACAAAGTACTCAGGTTAGGTTTTCAACACCCACATGGTGGCTCAAACTACCCAGTAACTACAGTTCCAGGGAATTTAGTGCTCTCTTCTAGCTTCTGTGGGCACTAGACATACATACAGTGTACCTACATGCAGGCAAAACTCATACACATAATTTTTCAGAAATTATTTTAAAAGGATGAAAAGCCTGACCCATATCAGCATAGGAATAAACCTTCTGAGCTTTATGACACATGAAATAAACAAGATATAAAAGCACAAATACCATATAGTTCCACTCAGATAAGTACCCTGGAATTGTCAAAGATCAGAGCCAGAGAACAGTGGTTTCCATGGGCTAGGGTTTGAGAAGTTAAGTGCGTGGCAGCCACAGATTTTCTCGTAGAGCTAATGTCCGTGTTCTGGAGCTGAATGGTTGGTGATGGCTGCACAGCATTGTGAATGTACTCAATGCCACTCAACTATAGACTTCCAAAGGGGGCAAGGACAACGAAGACAACAAATTATGTTATGCGTGCTAACAATCGTGTACATTAGAGTTAAAATAGTTTTTAAATATTTTACCTCAGTCAAAACAAACACTCTGAGGAGACTGGATTCTAAGGAAACATCCTAACTCTATGAGTCCTTTTGCCAAACCAGGCAGTACCAGAGACACAACAGTGAAGGGAACAGCCTCAGCCTGCCCTCACATGGCCCACACTCCGACTGAAGAGACTCACAACCACCACTGTCTGATTTCCGGTGAGGCACAGGCCACAGCAGTGAGGTGTAGGCTCAGAGCAGAGAGGGCAAATCCTGGGGGAAATCTAAGAGCAGCCTGCCAGGACCACGTCACCTGGATGCAACAGAATCCCAAGATGTCTACAGTGAATCCCACTGTCACTCTGGTGGGTAAAAGCTGTGACAGGTCAAGAGCTCTCACACATTCCTGCTCTCAATTCACATGTGGCCCAAGCTCAGCACACTCCCCAGTGAGCTGCAGTCATGCATAAATCATCTCCGAGATGCTCAAATGAGTCTGCACAACACATTCTTCAAGGCCCAAATGCATTTTCACCCCATCTCCAGCACCTACAGGAGTGGGCAGCATGAACTGCAGAATCCTCAAACCACCTGAGTCAGAGTCGCAGACAATCTCTGGTTCGGTGACCTCTCTGGACTTCAGCTTCCAGGACTTTGAACCTCACTAGGTTGAGTGTTTTGGACAGTTCTTACCACATATAATAAAATTAGCTGCTATTGTCATCTTCAAAAGATCCAAGGAGTCAGGAAAGGGGCAGGTACCAACTGTCTTCACTTAGGAAACGGTTAAAGAAAGCAAACAGTTCAAGTTACGTGGCTCTTTGGCTCCACTGCTCTCCCCAACTACACCGCAGAACCTTCAATAATCTAATAAAAGCATTTGATGAAAACTTAAGAATCTCACATTTGGCCACCTATTGTGTAACAGACACCGACTACCACTTTTTCTGGTGCCTATAACAAACAAGGCCTCAAGTTCTCCAAACACAGCACCTTGGTCTGTAATTCCAGCACCAGATTCAGAAACCTCTGTATTGTCCATTGGGAAACTGAGCTAAGAGCCTGGCTTTCATTAATCATCTTTATAGACCAAGAACTCTTCACCTTGGGGGAAAGAAGAGTGATAAAGCCTTTGGTACTTTGGCATCTGCCATTCAAAGGTGGTGGAGATGGACGAACAAGAGATACTGAACAGAACTAAGTACAGAATGGTGGAGGATCAGATACAAACACATGCTATGCTCCGGTGGAGCCAACAGGAAAACCAGGGGTCCAGCTAAGCTTATGCAAGTTTAGGTTGGTACAATTGGTGAAAACTATGGCACAAATGGAATTAAATGGGGTTTTAAATGTTTTCTGTGATGTTTATGCAAAACATGAGGACCCAGACAGTTGGCCAAACATTCTAAGCATGTCGTTAAAGCTATTTCTGGAGAAGATTATTATTGGAACTGGTACCCAAAGCCAAGCACATTGCTCTCCCTGATGTGAATGGTCCTCACCTAATCCGCTGAAGACATGGGTAGAGAAAGAAAGGTAACAGAGGATCATCCTACATGTCTGAGCTGAGGCACGAGGCTTTCCTGCTTCTGTTTCAAAATGAAACGTTAGCTCTCCCTGGGTCCCGAGACTGCTGTTAGGTAACGCTTACCCATCAGTCCTTGTTCTCAGGTCTCTAGATCTGACTGGAACTAGACAATCAGCAATTGGAGGTCTCCAGCTTGGTGACTGCAGATCTCGAGACATGTCAGTTTCTGTAGTTGTGTGAGCTGATTCTGTAGAATATATGTGTGCATGCGTGCGTGCGTGCGTGCGTGCGTGTGTGTGTGTGTGTGTGTGTGTGTGTGTGTGTGAGAGAGAGAGAGAGAGAGAGAGTCCTTACACTATCTATGCAGATTGACCCTGACTTGTACTTTGAGTTGATGATTTTCTTTTGCTTTATGACTGTGTGAGTATAACCACGTACAACTAACAACTCCCACTTTTCAATTTCAGTACAGTGTTTCAGAAGTTACAGAAGATGAACAATATAACACGGGTTGTACATTAGTTGATTTTGTCCAACTGTAGACTAATCCAAATATTCTGCACATATTTAAGGTAAGCTAGGCTAAGTTACAATGCTCATTGTTCACATGTAACATGTATTTTCAATATACAATATTGTTATGTTGGTTATATAATGGTTAACTGATACATAACCCATTGTAGTAGAGAAACATCTGTATAGATTTTTTTACTGCTGGTTCTCTTTCTCTATAACCCTTTCCAATAAACTACCATTGGCTTAGACAGGAAAGAAAATTCCCAGAAGTATAAAAAAAAACAGGGGGGGGGGCTAGGCACAGTAACCCAGAACTGCGATCCCAGTACTCAGAGGCAAACAAAAGGACCACTCCAAGGTTGAAGCCAGCATCTGGTCTACATAGTAAATTCCAGGCCAACAAGGGCTACACGGTGGGACTGACTGTCGGAGAAACAACAACTGGCTGAAAAGAATGGAGAAGGTCATTAGCAAATGAGTGAAGCAGGGGCCATGAGAGGAGACTGGGCACACTCAGGGCGGTGTAGCTGTAGACATGGGAGCCACGAGAGTATGGATTTGGAGGGAAGAGGGAAATGGGTGTGAGAATAATGAGAGCAATAAGACAGAACAGACTATTGGAGCTCTCAGTGAATTCTGAATGTGACCCTCCATTCAGACAGACAACGGTGGCCATGAGCTTGTGAATCATTCTGCCCTATTTAGGGAGAGGACCCATTCATGTCTGAAGAGAGAAGACTAGAGCCCTGGAGGCCAGCTAAGTGGCACCTGCATGTGTCCAGGTGGGAAGAGATGTATAGGCTAAGATGTCAATGAGGAAGTCTCTTGCCTTTGAGAACAGACTCACATGCCTCCTTGGGCCTCAAGAGCTCGCAGACAGTTCCACACAGTTGCCAGGTACAAAGGCCAGTCAACTTGGGAGAAGGCCACCTACTCACACCTCAGAGTCTGTGGTACTCCATGCTTGCAAGCCTGTCATCACTTGCTACTACAGAGTTCCCACCTTAGTACAGAGTTCCCACCTCAGTACAGAGTTCCCACCTGAGTACAGAGTTCCCACCTCACTACAGAGTTCCCACCTCAGTACAGAGTTCCCACCTCACTACAGAGTTCCCACCTCAGTACAGAGTTCCCACCTCAGTGTTCCTCCTCCAAGAAGCAGAGCACAGTGTTGTCTTTATCTCACAGAAGGGCTACGAGAACAAAGTGTGAAGTCGCACTAAATGGGAAAGCAGTCCAGTGAAAGGCTGGCTACAGCAGAAAACACCCAGGGTGAAGCGCCCATTGACCTGTGGCCTCCTGCAAAAGCAGGTACTTTATGGGTTCAGCCCTAGAGGATCATCTCCATAAAGTACTTGCAACCTCATTAAGATCACAGCACAACAACTCAATCACTGCCCCACAATGGTTGCCTTCCACACTAACATGAGACTGTCCCAACTGACTTACAATGAGGTAACCCAGGTGAGGTAAGAGGCAACACCAGGCCTCGCCCCATAGAGGTGGGGCTGAAGAGCAGAGATGGATGGGTAAGAGGCTGCATCAGAGCAGGTCTGGACAAAGGACAGGACCTCCCATTGCAGTTACACCTGCAACTGTGGCCGAAATCTCAAATGGAACAATCCCACGGATTCTACAACAGGATCTTTCTACAATCCCTCCTCCCCAGGGGCCACTCTCGGACAAGAGTCTGTCCTATACTAATTGTCAGGGATGACCCAGTCACCACCACAAACGCTGCGTGTGTGAACAGGGTGAGATAAGCTCCGCTACAACAGCCAACTCGAGTAACTAGGGCGCTTGTTCTGTATCTGCTTTCGAGAACACAGACAGCCCAGGAGCAGGTCAATATCAGCATGTAATGAGAACGGCTGGTGCTCAAGAGACCTTCCCACCAGCCGGACCCTACCTCCTCCCCTCTCCATTGTATCAGTTCCTGGGGTTCTCACCCCCTGCAGCATAGCTCCATTCTGCAGATGGGGAAACTGAAGCAAGAGAAGGCGAAATATTGGTGAGCCCTTCAATACACAGCAGAGCTGGTCTTTCAACTCAGCCTCGTGTGGCTCCCACATCTGAGCCTTCAGAGAATGCCAGTGTCCAAGTATTGCCACGCTTCTGTCCTAAAGTCTACAGAAGGAAGAGTGCAGGAGCCTCTGCCCAACGAGAAACGTCGGCAGAGGGGTTTTAATTCTGCCTCCCAACTTTCCAGAATGTTCCGATACCAACAGGATATACTTCTTTAAGTAGAAAGACACATATAGAGTGAAACTGATCCCCCCATCTTCCGTCATCCCTTCTTAGAGGGAGCCCCTGAGGGAGATCACTCACCCAACCTGAATACTGAGCATGCCCAGTGCAGCCCACACTGAATCAGCTCAAGAACAGAAACTAGATGAACCCACAGCAAGGCTGAGTGTCAGGCAGGCTGCCAAGAGACACAGCTGGAATCAGCTGTCAGCTACCTACTGATCCGATTAAGAAACGTTGGTTAATACTGCAAGTACAATTAAAAATACATCAGCCACACATAGAACACCAGCTCCCATAACTTTTCAAAGAACTGATTAGACAAAGCAAAAGGCCTCGCTGGTTTCTGATTAGCCAGCAGAAGGCACCTGGACCTGTAATTAAGTCTTCCTAGGAGAGGAAGAACTCCGAAGCTGTCCTGTGCAACCTCATGGATAGGAGTGGATTAAAGACAAGGCATATACCCAAATACTTCCTCCCTTAGGGCTTCTAGACAGGGAAGTATAGACAGCCTCCATGACTTCTGGGAGTTATGCTAAGAACTATGTATACACACATTGTCTGTGTGACTTTCACATAAGCAATGCTTCCTGGACGTTGGCAAAGCTCCCTTGGAAGGACCAGTGACAGCCAGCAATGCCTACCCTGCACTGGTGGGAAATGACACAGATGTAGGGAACTAAAAGCATCCTTGAAGGATTTATGGCTTAATCACAATAACCCTAGAGGTGTTCTCCACCTACCCACCCCTGAGGTCAAAGGGCACCAGTGTAGCTACTCTAAGCCAGTTAGAAGAGTGATCTAGATGAACCAACAGAAGCATCTACACAGGATAACACTACCAAGGCCATTTTTCAATCAAACACACCGTGTGCGCACGCGCGCGCGCGCACACACACATGTATGTATGCTTCATTCAATTACTATGAATGTAAAATATGTGGGAAAGTCCTGAATGAACCCATCTGTGTGAAAGTCGGTATAACTTCCCTTGGGTCTTCAGAAAGAAGATGGCCTCCCAGGGACCTCACCAGAGCCTGTTTGCTTCTCGGCAAGTCCACAGCTCTCTTTCTGCTTCCCTGCACCTCTAAGCTTCAGTCAACCCAAGCTGAGCAGTCACATGGCACAAAGAACTCTGCTCTGCCACGTTCCAGCCTTGCAGTCAGGGTAAGGGTCCTCTTCCAACAAGCTACAGTTCTTAAGACTGTGGGAAATCAAGTGTTCCGGTCGGATCAGGGACAGGTTTTCTGAGACTCAAGAGACAGCATGTCATGGCACTTTAACTAAAGCCCTATACAGGCTCATAGTAGTCATTAATTGCATGAATTCTAGAATGGAATGCATGCACAGTCCTGAAAGGGAATCCTAATCCTAAAGCCTTTTAATAAGACTCAGCTGCAAGCTTTAAACTTCCAATCCCTGTCTTGGGTTTCCAGGCTCTAGCTAAAGAGAGACATTCCACCTCCCAAGCAGTACGCACCCTGACTCTTTTAACATGCCAGTAGGACTCCAGAGAAAACAGGTAATGGTGACCAACAGCCTCACTGAACTACATCCTGTATCAGTCAAGGGAAGGGCAATCGGTCATGAGCATCCTCCAACAGCTCCTTTCTAGAAATGCACATCTAGTCCGCCTCTCTCTGTCACTGGCCCCAAGTGCTTACACTTTGCCACAATGCTTTGCACTCCCCGGAGCTAAGTCATTGTCCTAATTATTCTTCTATGATAGCAAGGTAGCCTGAAGAGTGCTCCAGAAGCATTGGAAGCTCAGAAAACCATGGACAGCAGGCAGCTGCAAAGTGCGTTAGCTGGATACTGAGATCGGTGCAGGGGCTTATTTGTCACCACGACAGAAGGTGATAATGTGACATTTCGCAAGTTTCCAAACAGCAGGGGGGAAACCACCCCCATGCTATTAGTTGCAGCAAGGATGGACTTCCCAGCACATGCGGCCGCATGAACGATGAATCACTCATTTATTCCACAGACTGAATACCAAGGCAGCCTCAGTCCACAGTGAGATAGATCTGTGCCTGAACTTTGTGAAGAGAACCTTCTTGTTTCTGTGTCTGCAGTTTTCTCCATCAACATTACTTTCCCCAAGAAATCATGATTTACAGAATTCCTACTTGGAAGAGGCTCATGATTCCACAGTAAACGCTGGCAAAAGGCATCAATACTTGCAGTATTAACCAGCATGTTTCCTGGTCTCTTCTCCCCCCTGAGGAGGTCACCTCCTCCTCCCAACCTAACAGGTCAAGGGTGGAAAGAAAACATTTATCACCTAAACCAACAACTGTTCTTGGCTTTGAAACAGCACCCACTGTAGACCTTCAAGAGTCCTTTAGGAGGAGGCTCTGGCTATAAGCCAGTTGGCAGAGTACTTACCAAACATGCCCTAAACTCAATCCCAGCACTACATAGACCAAGCATGTAATGACCAAGGACACCTGTAATCCCAACTCTCAGGAAGTGGAGGCAGGAGCAGCGGAGCTCAAAGTCATCCTCTACTGTGCAGCAAGTTCAAGGCCAGTCTGGGTTATATAAAAGCGTGTAAAAGAAAGAAGTGGGGAGGCAAAGGGGAGACGAAACAAAGGATAAGAGAAGTGGTCTCCTCTTCCCTCCCCTCCTCTAGGGCACAGGTCATCAGAAATATGCTGGGGAGGGGAGGCAATGCTTACATGTCACACTCGAAAGTTCTACTGCTAATTTTGTGACCTTATCCAGGCCATTAAATCTCCCAAAAGAAAATCCATCTTTCTACACTTGAAAGGATTGAATATGAAAAAAAAGTATGTCAGGTACTATG